TGCAATTGTTTCTAACATATTTATAAGATGATTTCTATGTTGCTTTGTATGTCCCTCCCCCACAGTATAACCCCTGCTTTCACTGTATTTGATGTTGTTATAATTTGTGGAAGGGAAGGTCAAAAACAAATTGTTTAGATAGGGATACAGGTGGACTCATTGCAACAATGAGATGTACAAGTCATTATGTCAAAAAACGAACTTTACAACTTTGGTGGTGGTGGGGGGATCGGGTTGGGGGTGCAGGGGGGAGGATGGGAAGGGATGGGAAGGGGAAATAAAGAGGAGGCAACAATGCTTGATAAGAATGTACTCGTTATCTTGCCCATGTAACTGTAACTCCTCTGTACGGTATTCTCACAATAAAATTTAAAAAAAGAGCTCAGAGACTGCACTTAGGCCCTGAGTTCATGACCCACCACTGACAAAAAAAGATTTAGTATAAGACAGCTATGAAAAGATAGCACATCGGTGTATCTTCAGTATATTTTCAGAGGCACAGACATTGGCTATACATTAAATATAAAGAATTAGGACAGGGGTAAAAAAAGGTATACATAGGGAGTCCCAAGTCATAAATGTATCCCTTGTCATAAGTGTGACCATTTCTCAGCCTTTGTTCTTGCAAGAGTTCTGGAGAAGTTATCACTTCATTTCTGGAACAGAGCAGGAGCAAGATGGTCTGCTCAGTTTTTTTTTTATTTACTGTATTCTTTAAGGTGATAAGAAGAAAGCATTGCCTATGTGAGAAGCACTTTGCCTTCCATATGAGATGTTTAGTGGTGAATCTGGTCTTTCCAGGCACCTAAGGTGATTGAAAGGGAACTGTGGGCAGAGAATAGCTCAGACCAAAGAGCACAGATACACAATAGGGGACTTCAGTTAATTCACGAGGCCCAGCAAAAGCATCTTTTTGGTTGCCTCTTAAGAGTCAGTCATTGTTTCAATGTTGTTTCAATGAGGTGAGACCGGAGTCACCATCATCATTACCACTTTTGGAGAAAATTCTGCAGTTCTCACCAGATGGCTGTTTCTGCTTAGGAGTGCTGCCTCGGTTCCCATCATGGGGTAATTGCATCTCCTTGTTGGGGAGAGTCCTCACCATTGTTCAGGTTGCCTATGAGGCTCCCTTTTCCTTGAATCTAAGGCGTTCAAAGGTGTAGGGCAACAAAAAGATGTCCAGGCGCCTTCCCAGGAATCTTAAAAAATAGGATGGTAGAAAAGATGACAGGAGTTCAGTTACTCATTTCATAACATTTTTAGTGATAAAGGGAGGGAGAACAAGATAAGGAAACCTTAGACTAATTAACTGTGTATTACCAGGTTTTAGATAGACACTCCTAAATTGGTTGTCATGACAACATGCATAATCAGTCAAGAATCTGACCCAAAGTAAAGGAGACAGATACAAAACAAGGCAGAGAGGCCATGGTGTTGTTCTGCATTTAGTTACTTGCGTGCCTAAATTGAAAGTCAGTGCATTTTAGAAAAAGCAGCATCTAAGTCCTTATTGTTACTGGAAGAAATTTTTCTGTCATGGAAATGTTCATATAGCAGAAAACCAATTTCCTTTTAAGTGAGCTAAAAGGGTTACAAGATGAATAACATTAACTAACAAGAACAACAGCCAGTACTTCTTGAGCACTAACAATGACAGGCATTGAGATAATTGTATTAGAAAGAAATGGCTATTCCTATCCCCTTATTTCAGAGGAGGATTGAAATCCGAGAAAGTCTCTGATTTATACCAGGACATATGTTTAGAACCAGAGTTAAGCCTTGGCATTCTAAATCAGAGCCCCGTAGGTGTTATACCATACATTCTCACCAACCCCAAGTCAGCCTCTTTTGAATCCATACCCACTTCATCTACATGCTAGTGTTTGGGTCCAAGAAGAAGGTTTTAGTTTACCCTTCTTGTTCACAACAAAAAGGTGCTAGATACTAACGTCAAGCCTGGGATAGAAAGTGAAAAGGGACAGCATTTCTGTTTTCATAGTTCACATTTTCATCCCATGCATTGCTTAGCAAGATCCACTGAGTTTTGGCAGTGTTCTTTTGGGCAGCCTAATTTTCCTACATCCTCATCACTTATGGTAGAATAAAGTTTCACATTCTTATCTTATATAATCTCCTATATTCTAAACACATTCTGTTTTGAAAATGATGCCTTTTGAAATTTAACAAGAAAACATGGACCTGGTATCCACATGCTTTCTGATTGTCAAGGCAAACAGAGGAGCCAATAGAAGTAGATAAAGGATTCTGGGTTTTATGTCTGTCTTGTTTCTGCTTATAATTTTCAACTTTTTTCTTTTCTGATCTTGAAGAATGGTCCAATTAGACATGACAATTATATCCTTCAGTAATTAAATTATTATTATTATTAATATTATTTACCATGGAAAATTTCCTTAATACCAGGCTGCCCTTCAAGTGTCCTCTAGCATCACAGGGAGCCATCTTGCAACCCTAACTAACTGTTGTTAGCATGGGCTTGGGAGAGATGGGTCAGGATGAGTCACTTTGTAGCCTACAGCATCCTCTAGTGGTCAGAGGTGAATCACAAGGCATGTACATCTTGAACATCCCAAGGAATGAGTGAGTGGCTGATAACTGTGTTTTGTTTCAAAAGTGTAAGAATAGCTTGGCACTTATCATTTCTCATGTAGTTGACACTCGGCTCCCATTGTAGGAGGCTTCCTAACACATCTCAGATGGTCCTAATCATATGTCCATCTCTCTAATTTGCAGAAATTGGGATTTAAAATTGCTTTTCTTTCTCATTTCCCTCCCTCTCCTCCTCCCCCTTCCTTTCCCTCTCTTATCCCTTCCTTTCCTCCCCCTCCCCCTCTCACTTCCCCTCCCTCTTTCCTTCCTCCTTCTTCCTCTCCCCCACCCTCCTCTCAGATTCCCCCCACACACACTTTAAGGGACACTTCATTATTTGTACCTTCTTTGTTATCACTGCATATAAATACACACAAAAAATATCCCAAGATATTATTTAGAGTCTCTAAAGAATGAATATTCAAGGGAGGAAATTGTAGTTTCAAAGAAGTGGCATTAGACTTGAGGTTAGACCTGAGTTATAACTCTGCCACATTGTTTGCCAAGAACATCACCAGCATAATTAGACCACAGGGCTATTCAAGGACTAAATTGTATGCACTATGTCCATGTGCATAGACAGAACTGTGCCCACTACAGCAGATACTCACTTAACTCTCACAGAAACCTAAAGGGACTGTTTCAACCAATGGAATAAAGCAAGTAATGCATTTCTGGAGTGCAAGTTTTCCAACTATTCTTTGTTTGTTTGTTTTTGGTTGTGGGGCTTGAATTCTGGGTCTGGGCGCTGTCCCTCAGTGCTTCAGCTCAAGGCTAATGCTATACCACTTGAGCCACAGCGTCACTTCTGGTTTTCTGGTGATTAATTGGAGGTAAGAGTTTCAAGGACTTTCCTGCCTGAGTTTTGCCTGAGTCCTCAGTATAAACACATATGATTTTGAGGAAACAAACAACATATGAAAGAAACAAGGTATATTCATGTGCATTTATTCAATTATCAGGCTCCCCAGCCATCAAGGGGGCCTTAAGTTTCAAGTCTTCAGCAAGGCCCCGATTTTTGAATGAGGACAGGAACCTGGCGCTTTCTGTAGAAGAGATTGAAAAAAGTATCAGTTTAAACTTTCCTGACAAAAAAAGTGGCTGAAAGACAAAGAAAAAGATCAGATTTATTTTAAATAGAGAGCATTAAGTATTTGTTCTGACTTCTCTATCTTGGTCTTATTTACTTATTCAACAAATATTTGTTGATTGCTATTATATTCACTAGGAATACATTAGGAGAGAAAAAGTACTTACCATTTTTATAGATTGAGTGGGTGTTGTACTAGGTCTTTGAAATTAATCTCAAATCCATTGTTGCCTCTTTTGTCCTTAGGGCTAGGGCCCTAGCTACTAAGCAGCTTTGGCTGTGGCAGTATCTGCTAGCTGTTGGACATTTCATTGTAGGAAAATGGGTATCCAAATCATAGAGGTCTCACAAAAAGGATCACCTCCCTATCTCAGTCAGTTGTAAGCATCTTCCCCTCCCTACAGATCACTTTTCCACTCTCCTCTCCCCATAGTACCTTTCTTAAATCAGTTTTTCTTCTTTTCTAAGCTAAATATTCCTGAATTCTGAAGTCATTTCTCTTAAGATTGTTTCCATACATACATACATACATACATACATATATATACATATACATATATATATATATATATATATATATATATCATCCTTTCTTGGAATAAACCAGTAGGTTTGCAAGCAGTCTTCTATTTCTCTTTCACCAGAGAACACCTGCCACTCATACATTTTTGTTTGTACATTGTCCTGACCCCCAATGATTCATTTTAAGAGATTTTTAGTTCATATTAGTTATACACAGGAAGCAAAGAAATTTAAATGCTTCTTGTCTAATGAGAATTAACATCTCAGTATCCTGTTTTCCAAATCAGTTCCATACATAAGCAGAAACAACTAACAGAGCACAGGGGCTGACCTGTTCTTTATGGCTGTGCTCTTCACAGTAATTCAACATGCTCACTGTCCACATTAGACTAAATCAGAATTAAAAGCCAAGTGGTATTTAAAAATTTAGTTTCTCAGTTGTCCTAACCACAGTTAAATTCTAACAGTTAGTGTATTGTGGTTAGTGGCTTGCATTAGCACAGATAGAGAGGCATTTCTGTGTGTGTGTGTGTGTGTGTGTGTGTGTGTGTGTGTGTGACTTGTCTTGTATACAGACACATTGGTGCAGATCAAACTTACTATTTCTTATACTCTCTCTAATGAACTTGTCTAAGATTTTTATCATTACAAAAGGTCCTGTTGGATAGTGATGGCTTACAAAAGAACTTACCAATACAAATTTCCTAAGAAAGCATGGAAGAAATGGAGCAATACCTTAACAAATATCTTTGCCAGACACCTAATAATGAGGAGGCTACCATATGTAGGCCCCTGTTTAACAACAAAAGCCATCACAAAGGCTCAGAACCTTGCTCTAGTTTCTATGCAGTGGTTTGTTTGGAGCTTTTAATCGGCAATAAAAATAGATGCAGTACAGAACCTTAAGAAAAGTGTTATGTTTAGAAAAACCAAATTTGTCCCTAGACCTAAATGTTCTTAGGGAAGACCTAAATTTTCTTACAGGAAGATTGTTATATTTTCTGGGATTCAAATGTTGCTCTCTATTTACACAGATTTCAAACAATAAAACCATGATATTAAGGTAACCCAGCCCTCCAATGGTATTTTCCCAATGTTTTACTCTAAATAGTCTATCTTTTGATCTTTTGCAATTGGAAATTTCCCACACTGAAGCTGTTCTGTCACTTATTCCTCCCTTTGGATGGAAATAATGAAGTTTGATCTTAATGTCAACAACATAGGTCATGAGAAAAGTAACAAGTGGCATACTGCTTTTTACATATGTTTAAGGTGGAAACATATTCACCAGAAAGCGGAAGCTTTGGGTTTGGAACTTTAGGACACTGAAATATATCTGGAGATGTACTTTTGCAAATCCTGGCTACACTCTAAGACTTTAAACAGACTCAGAGGAGGAAATTCATCCTGTGGAATAATAGAAATGTACAATTATTTGAGCCTAAGTCAACATTTTCAATATCAAGTCAGTCCCAGAATAACCAAATGTTTTCTAGAACACTTGTGGAACCTCTTTTGTTTTGATTGTCTCACAGTTTTATTAACCTGGACTATGATTTTATTCTGTGTTGCTAAAGTGTAGACCCCTGTTAAAAATGATATTCTTTTCATGAATCCTTTCTTGAATCCTTTAATAAAAAGACATTGCTATTTATGTTTTATCTCTATAATATTTTACTTATTTTTTTCTCTTGGCATCTGCTATAAGTTAAAAGAGAAGAAATTGTCTTACATGTTCCTATGACCCTTCATAATAAGTATATGATTGTTGAATGAGAGATAAAACTTTCAGGAAATCTATTCCTCTGGAGGTTTATTGCTGGTTCCCTTTACCCAATTATGGGCATTTCAGAAAAAAATAACCTTCATTAATTTGGCTCTCATAGCCATAAATGAACATGATGCAAATACACACATCCACACATATGTATAGTTGCATTTATATTTGTCACTGATAGAGCTTGAACTCAGGGCCTGGGCACTTTCCCTGGGCTGTTTTCCCAAGTCTACCACTCTCACTTTGAGCCACAGGCCCACTTCCAATTTTTAAGTGGTTATTTGGATAGAAGAGTCTCATGGGGACTTTTCTGCCCAGACTGGCTTTGATCCTTGAGCCTCAGATCTCAGCCTTCTGAATACTCAGGATTATAAGCCTGAGCTAACAGAAAATATTTTTATTCATCATATTTACCTAGTACAAATTTATGTATTTGGGGGCTTGGGCAAATATAATCATTGGTATCACAAAAATTATTTGTTAAACTTAAAGGTGTTTTATGTATACAGGATTTAAAAATTTCAAGTGATGTACTGTTTTGCTATGAAAATATGTGGTTTTTAATCAATAGTGATTTTTAGATTACATGATCCTATCAACTATAGGAAAGGTGGAAACAATTTGTGCTGTTAGCATTCTGGATTTGGCTTTAGAAAAATGAAATATGTAAAGGTTTGAAGCCCGTGAATTAAAATGTGTATTACAAGTCAGTGTTTGTACTCACCTATTTTCATCACATAGCATACATTCGTTGGAATAAGTAGTTCCATCCGTGCCACAGACAGGCTGATATATCCTGGGGCAGCCAGTATTTTCTTCATTACAATTAGCCTTAAAAAAGTAATGAAACATCATTATTTTCCATCACTATCCATTCTCTGTATTCACAGCAAAATATGAAGATGGCTTTAATCTCTTTGGGGACATGACTGTAACTGTAAGAGTGGCACGGAGTATTCTAAGACAAGGAAGGGATCTGAAGTCAGGAAACCGAGTCTAAACACATTCTGCTGCTGTGTCCAAGCTGTGTGAGATTGGTGAATCTGCTGGCTTCCTCCCTGAATCTCAGTCACTTCAACTGTGAAGTGGGAATGATTTCACCTTACCTTCTATGAGATCGGACTATTGTGGGTTGTTCATAAGACCAGTCAGATAAGGCACAAGACCACAGTTAATCCAGGCACTGACTTCTCCCAGTTCAGGTGCTTTTTGGAACATGCTCCTCCTGATGCATTTTAATCCACTCACACTGGTCTTTCCTAAAGCACGTGAAGTTCCTGGGTATCTCTCATTGCTGCAGTCTTTGTACTGTGCTTCCTCTATACCAATGAAAGCTAACAGTCATCAAATGACTGCTTCAAACTGTGCACTGTCCCACAGGCTTTTATGTTTTGATCTAAGTAAATAAACTGTTAATGACGAACATTCAAAACTCTCACTCCTCAATAAAAATGTCAATTATTTCTTCATTGATCTATCTCATAATTACAATGCAAACTTTTATTATTATTATTATATTATTATGCTGATGATTACTATTTTTATTATTCCCCTCTTTTTCAAGTGAAGACAATGAGGTACAAAGTGTTGAAAAACCCAAAGCCACACAGATAGTAATACCTGGATCCAGAACTTAAAGGCAGTTACTTCAAATCCTGAGCTTTAGTTTTTAATCACTTCATTCTACTACATCTCCCACCAGATATTTTTTTGCTAACACTCATTTGCTCTTCCTGGCTAAAAGTAACCATTAACCTGGGCACAGTCTCTCATCTGTCTTACTAGGTTGTGTTACTAATGGTACCAGAACTTCTTCATAACACATTACAAGTAGAATAATGTATTCACTCTTGAGTTTTATCAATTGCCTCTCTCTAGACATAAGTGCACAAAAAGAAGGCAATTGTTCCTCTGGCCTCCAAATTTATGATACTTTTTTTTTGGATGTGTACCCATTCTGAGGCTTGAGCTCAGGACTTAGGTGCTGTCTCCTAGCCTTTTTACTCAATGCTGGAACACTACAATATGAGACAAAGCTCAGCTTCTAGCTTTTTGGTGGTTTAGAAATAAGAATCTTATGGAATTTCTTTCCTGGACTGCCTTACCAATTGTAATTCTCATATCTCCTCCTCTTTAGTAGCTAGGATTAAAGGCATTAGCCACTGGTACCTAACAACTTTTGAGACAAAAAAGGGAAAACATGGAAAAATTAGATCTGATCTAAATATTTTTCCAAGGAAGCACTTATTTTACCATTTCTGTTCTTCATTATAAGTCAGAGCTGCATCTTTTATAATCAGGAGAACCTTATAACAATGTGGTCAAATGGGCTGGAGTGGAACTTGAGCGCTTAAGAAGGAAGGGCTACTTCGAGAAGATTCCACCCCAAACTCTTCATAGCTATATGTGAAAACTCTTTTGCAGCATCAGACAACCGCATAGAATGTGTCTACACATTTGTGAACTTGACCTTTAAGATAGAAATATTAGCATGGGAGAGCTGCCTCTCACAGGTTTAACCTCCCTACCTTTCTGACTCTTGATTGGAGGCTAAATCGAAAGGTGGCTGCTAAACTTTAGTTATAGTGGGATCAAACGGATTTATCCTGAGAAATTAAAAAAGAAGATAAATTTCTCTTTACCTTTCTCCCTAGGGAGTTGGCTGTAGCATTACCTAGAAAACATAAGTCAGACATGTTAAGTTGCTTCCTAAAAAGGATGAAGGCAGATATATTCATCAGGGGAAAACATTGTTTTCACCAAAGACTGTGACCTGTTGGTTACCAGCTTCTACTTGCCACTTTAACTTCTACTTGTACCTTTTCACTTCATCCTCTTTCATCTTGAAAAAGTTAAACAAAAATTTGATTATGTCTGATGTCAGTATTTTTAGCTATTTAGAGGTTTGAGATTCGGTAAAACATAGTTTGAAGGTGGAAAATTTTGTGAGACTCCATCCTCAAAAAAACAACCAAACAAACAAAACATGGTCAAGAAGCTGGGTTGAAGATGTGGTTCACAGGTAGAGCACCAGCTAAATGTGCAAGCCCTTAGAATAATTGTACGCCCTGATTTCAAATCCCCAAACCATTAAAAAGATACTAAATAGTTAAATGATGCTAAATAATTGAAATACTATATTAGGTCAATTAAGTAGCTAGCAAATATCCTTGGAATGCTTGCTATCATTATCACAAACAGCCACTGGACTTTTGTTCACATAATTAGTGAAGACTAAGCATCTTTGTCCAGGTTTATGGATAGAGATTTAGATGATTTATATACGTAGTTGTGAAATGTTAGCAACAGCAGCAGCAACCAGACTTTCTGATGTAACTCCATCTTACATATGCAATGTTAACAATTGGGTTCTTTTGCCAACTCACCATCAGTTTCTTAAGACCTTTTTCCCACAGCTACATTACACTGACTGATTACAGGTCCAAGTGCCTTTTCTGAATTTATGAATAGTCAAAATAGACATTGTATTTTCCCCAAACCAGCAGGTCTTGATGCATCAGGTAAGGGGAAAAAAAAGCAAACCCATTGGAGGAAATATAAATGATAATAGGTTTAATTTTAGTATCAGCAGTCTCAGAGAGACCAGGGCACAGTTTTCTTTTAATTGTTGTTGTAGGATTACTTTTCTTTTGCTCAAGGCAGCACTCTACCATTGGAGCCATAGCTCTACTTCTAGATTTTTGCTGGCTAATTAGAGGTAAGAGTCTCACAGACTTTTCTGCCTGGAATGGCTTTGAACCATGATAATCAGATCTCTGCCTCTTGAGTAGCTAGAATTACAAGCAATGAGCCACTGGTACCTAGTTCCCATTGGTTTTCATAATTTATGTAATTATGAAAATTGATCAACAGGTGCTCACCAGAGATATTTATATTAATTAATATGCCTGAGGAGACAGAAAGACATTTCTTCTTGTAAATATTTAACAAATACCACAAATGATATTCTTTACTTTTGTAGCAAAGTGCTGACTTGGCTCTCAGAGTATTATTCTGCTAAATTAAAGATGAAGTTAAAAATGTTAATAATTTCCAATGACAAAGGAAACTGATCTCAATTCTGAGTCTTCACTATTTTCAAGATGAGATTTGGGGATTTATGTAATGCCATCTATTTCAAGTAAAAAGTTTTCCCTCCAGACATTTTGCAGATGAAAAACTAAAAAAAAAATCAGACAACCTATGCCTTTTATGTGGTATAACTGACAGCCGGTTCTTTGTCTATTTCATGGAATCTCATGAGAATTTCAATTGTGTAAATTGGCCATAAGCATCTGTAGTGATAGTAAGGTATTTAAGAAAAAAGAAAAAAAAATCTCTACTATAACCCTAACAAAGTGTTGGCTTCCCTAGAGCCAAACCTTTCAGTTCACAAGCACGTCTTACTTGACTGGTTTTCCTTATATTAGTTATTTTCCTTTCCTTCTGCAATTCCTGCTCTTATTTCATCTAGTGAGGACTGAAAGATGAGCTAAGACTAGATTGTCATAGCAAGACAGAGCCATGTCAGATTTCCAGATTGTAGTGTGTTCAGTAAAGCAAAAAATCCAAAAATGTTACCAAATCTGAAAAATATTTTTTTAAAAAAACACCTACCCCATAGACTGAACAGAGCCAAGGCACTGAGAAGAAAGATCCTTGCCACCTTCATTGTTGTAGTTTATGTCCAAAGGTCAGTTGCAAACTGTACTGAACCTGCTGCTTCTCTGCAGAACCTGGGACTGGAGGGCCATATAAACAGGTGGTAATGCAGGCTCCACCTGCTGCACCATGTAACACGTGTCCTTGATTACTGATTGACTGTCTCAAAGTCTGGCATCCAGGCCTAGGTAATATCACCTGCATGCAAGAGGTGAAAGCAGAGAATTGGCCCAGATTCAGTTAGGGAAACAGCTCCAGTTAGCGAGTTTGATCTGTTTACCTGTGCCTCAATCTATTTATGTGGAAATTGAAATAATCAGGGAATGATCACTCAAAGCCCTGCACAGAGAGCCATGTGGTGTTAGAAGACTTCTGTATTCTTCCTGTGCTCCTGCATGTCTTTAGAGTAGAGACATCAATCACCTCTGTTTCAATTTACTTTTTCCAGAAAAAGAAGTTAGGAAACAAACAGATTTGAAAAATTAAAATAGCATCTCCTTTTTTTTCTATCCAGGGTAGTTTTGTTTACTGTCTAGAATGAATAAGCATATCACTTCCCAGGGAAAACCTCAAAGATGTTTACTGCCCTTTAAAAAAAAGATACACTTTTTTAAACCAGGTCTAGTTTCCTCTTTTTGTAATACATTGCATCTTCTGCACAGGTATTGCAGGAATGCAGGCGTCCCTAATCTTTTTCACAATGTCCTATGGAAACTAGAGTTCTGGAAACCAGCAAGAATGATTTAGACCTTGGTTTCTGACCTGGAAGTCTGTGTCTTCTGCTAGAATCCATTTGGCAGGTTAACACTACTCACCTCTTCAGATGTATTAGTAAATAGAAATGATAGAGTCTAAGTCTTCATAGAGCTTCTAGGCATCTTATCTGAGGGGACAGAAACAAAGGAAAAATAACAAAGTGTAGTATAATAGATCAGATTATAGGAAAGATCGTGGTGAAAATTCTAGAGAAGATGGAGATGTGGGAGATATTTTATGAGGAAGTGGTCAGAGAGGGTATTGTCAACTGACATTCCAACATGTCCATCCCAGGTTGAGGAAAAGGCAAAGTATATAAGCCAGAAATCAGCCGATGTGCTCTGAGAAACAGCCAAGGTGTCTTTATAGCTGGTAGACAGTGATAGAAAAGCAGAACATGACATGAAGACTCAGGCCAGGAAGAGCTGTTTGGCACATAGTAAGTGCTTTCTTGCCATTTTCATTTGGTCATCTTATTGTTACTTCTAACCCTAACATGTTTTGTATGCTACCAGTACTTTCCTCCACAGGTTGACCAGTGTCTTACTTTTGTACTGATTGCTCAAGCTAAGCCTGAGTGTTCTCTGTCATGTTTCCCTGTCCCTAAGCCATGTACTATTTTGTACATTCAATTTCAACCAAGCTCTTTTTGGCTCTATGTCCAGGATAAAATCAGTTGCAGATATAATCATCTCCCACCATCATATTCAAGATGACAGCACCATTCAACCTTGACTTTCTGTCATTGCCTTTATTTTTTTTCCACCATTGCCTTTAAATATTTGATTAACATCAATTGTTTCTTCCTCAAAGTAAAGCTTTGTCCACAGAACAAATTGTCTTTTACAGAATACAAATATGTTCCCTCTTTTCTCCAATGTCTCATTGTGCAAACCTCTGTGGAAGGGCTTAGGCTTTTCCTGATTTGGCTCCTTTCTGCTTCTGCCTTTTGCTCACCATTTTCCATTTTGCTCAGTCTCCCAAGATGTATTGTCATTTCTCTGATTCTCTTTGACTGGATGAAAAGAAAAACATGAAAGCTTTTAACCTTCACAGTTCATGATAAATGTCATTTTCCTAGAGCTGCTTTTTTTTTCTCCCTGTTCTTTTCCTCTTGTCTTGCCTTTCTTCCTTCTTCATTTAGGTTAGAATCTATGATTATATGCTGGGTCATATCCTTTAGAGATAGTAAAATAATTTAAATTTTACACCTATTCATATAGTTATTATGTAGCATCTATTTGCTGTGAGTGCAATCTAGTTGTTTAGGTTTGGTAGCACTTACAATTTATAACTAAATATTTGACTGAATTATAAATATAGTAATGATATGTGTACGTGACACACACACATATACACACACACACATATATATATATATATATATATACTGATTTTATCAAGGATGAAAATTTATGTCTTGCTCATTTCTGAGTCTTTATTGTCTTCCATATAACAGGCATTTATTAATTCCTTTAGTCTTTTGTTCATTCTAATATAGGTACAATTCAAATAATCATTGGGTCCCTACTATGTGAAAGCCCTCAGTTGAGCATTGGGGAGACATGAAGATTCTGTCCTCATGGACTTTGGTCTAATCATTTATTGTTATTTAGTTTTTTTCCCCTCTTCATCTTAAATAACTTTTTAAGTAGTTTTGTACCTAGTAAGAAGGTTCCAATAGCCATTGATAATGACAGTTCATGTCATGGGAAATCTTTTTTTAAATGTATTTTATCTTATTTATCAATTAATTACTATTATCTTTGAGTACTTGCACAAAAGGGTTTTAGTTCAACTTTTCAATGTATGAGAATGAGGGGTCTTGATCAATGCCACCCCTTCGATCCATCACTACATCTTCTATAATGTTCTTATCTTCTATTATCATCATCATTCTCTCTTCTGTAACAATGTCATGTTACCTTCTGGTAACACAGCAGATGTATCAACATCCAGATTTAGGCTTGCCTAGTATGAAGCCTGGACTCTTTCTACAACAGAGTGAATTTTAGGAACTTTGAGTCTGAATCTAAAGGAAAAAAGTGTGCTATGGTACACAATATGTACCCTTCAGATGATCAGTATCTTGACAGAATCAACAATTGTTCCTGGAAGTTGAAGTAGCCTGTGACGGGAGATATCCTGCAACTGTACGGGACTATTAGTCATATTTGGCATATTTACATTGCTTAATCTTATGGAAAACTTTAACCATTCACTTTTCCAGCTCTGCGTACATATTTATGAATGTCTATTACTAGCAACTCAAGCAAACAAATCATGAGCTACCACCCTCTGATTCAAGGACTAATTTTTTCACCTGAATGAAGAAGGATGACAAAACTTAAGACAACATCTCTTGGGTACTGAGAAAAACCTACTGGAATGGTGGTGCTTTCCAGACACCTGTTGATTTTCTCAGCCTGTGTCCCAGGTTTGCCTAGTAAGAAAAATAGCAAACTAATGCTATAGAGCTTGCCACCTTTAGCCTGACATTTGAAGACCTCTTCTAGATTGTTGAATCTTAAAGCTTACTTTTTTATTCTTCAGAGTATCTCCTAACTTAAAAAAATGACTCCCTTTCTGCCTTCTACTGTTAACCATTCAATCAAACCCAATGGTTTAGATTGTGCCCGTCTTGCAAGGCCTGGTTTAATTAGCATTGTTTCTGTCTCTCAAGGTAGTTTTTTCTTTGTTGTTTTGTTCTTGATTGCAAGTCTTGAAGCTTGAATTCCGGGTCTTACACTCTCATTTGACTTTTTCACTCAATTATGGTGCTATACCACTTGAATCACAACTCCATTTATCACTTTTTGCTGGTTAATTGGAGACAAGAGTCTCATGGATTTTTCTGCCTGAGCTGGCTTTGAATTGAGATCCTCAGATCTGAACTTCCCAAATAGCTAGGATTATAGGCATGAGCCACCAGTGTCTGGATCTGAGGAAGTTTTAATTAACTCTATCATTTAGTAATCAACATAATAATCTCATCAGCACCATCATCTCAATAAGTGTAACTCATACTGCTAGAATTGTTTGAAAGCTCCATGAATCAGTCATTGTGGTGTTTTGTTAAAAACATTATAATCCTTATGATATTACTATTTGCATTCAATAAGTAAAGAACATTAGGTACAGGGATTCCAGTTTCTTTATATCTGCTAACAAAGATCAAATTGAGCTTATATAAAATTGTACTTAGTGGCAAAGTTTCAAGAGTGACTTAGCCTTCAGCAGACCAGGATTCTTAATTCAATATTGTTGTTGACATCCTGTCCAGTGTTTTAAAAGTTCTCTTTTTACTTCCAGAATTATTTCCATATAATACATACACATATTATATACATACATTATATATAATTCATATTATGTAATATATACATATAATGTAAACAATATATTATGTAAAACATTTAATATATTTCATATTATATATTTCACATGTTATATACTTCACATATTAATACATAAATCTCTCATACATAAAAATATACACATGTATTATATTTATGAATGCTTATAATTATAACATATTCATATGATGAGAAATAATATATATGATATATGAGTGTATATGTGTCTTCATAGAAATATCCTTTACTAAGAGTTTTACATTTTCACGTTCTTCAAAATCTCAACTGAACAAAAGCCATTTTTAATGTTAGGTCTAAGTTAGTAATCTTCTCCTTGATTGTCAGTGTCACTTATGAAAATGTGGCCTGTCTTCACAACCATGAAAATGTTCTATATAAGTTTAGAAAATCTAAAATCCATGTAATTGTTTGATTATGTAAATAGATTACGACAGATTTTTTAAATGAATTTTAAATGGCTGTAAGTATCATTTTTGCAATGTAATCTCATTTTTGTTGGAAACCATTTGATCACATAATTTCAGATAAGATTCTCAACATTGTTCTTTTTTTATGAATTCTCAATTAAGTAGTGTATTGAATTTTTTAATTCTATCCAGTGTACTTTATGGGCTTTTTGTCATTCTCTCTCTTTCTGTCTCTCTCTCCAGGTGTGTGTGTGTGTGTGTGTGTGTGTGTATGTGTGTGTATACATACATATATATACATACATACACACATATATATGTATGTACATATATATACACACATATACATGTATGCATATATCTATATATACCTATTTATCAATATTACCTGCAGATTATAGATATATCTACTTGCCCCTTCTGTCATCTTAAAATGTCCTACCTTTATTCATTGTTAAGCACATTAGATGAGAGGATGCCCTTATGATATCATTTGTTTTTGTTGTGGCTAA